TTGAGCTTTGATAAAACTTAATAAATCAGTTTCGTTGCACACGTAGAAACTAATAGCCATGTATTGCGAGCCATAGTTTGTTTAATAGTGATAGTAATAGTCAAAAGCGATGTGAGTGAAAACAGTGAAAAGGATATGAGCATTGCTATTGTTTATATCTCAGCGCCATGTAGCCTTCTTTACACTCGCCTCACACGTCAACCGAGATCAGTTCTGTTGTTGACAGAAAGAAAAATATTTTTTTGGATAAATTCTCCATAATAAATATAAGAATTAGTTTATTCCGGGATCAATTCCGTCGAAAATATTTTTTTCTAAAGCCCGAATCATTTCTGCTATTTTTATCGAAATTTTAGTATACGGGATCCATTCTGCAATTTTTACCGGCTCGTTTCTGCTTTTTTCCAATCGAGAAAAGTAAAACTCAGAAGCTAATAATAAATGAAAAGTTAGAATATATATGTTAAAAAAATATTCTACTTATTCCGTGTTTATTTGATTAGTTGTTGACTCATCTTCTAACACAGACAGGTATATATTCTATTCCGAAAGCCATTGCAGTGGTGTAGTAATTTCGTTTACCAACAAAAGACGATTGTCAACAATGCAACGATTTATTCAGTCCAACACGGGAAGAATTCTCAACGGTTATTTCTCGTGCAATAGGTGATTTTAGTAAGAAAGTGCAAGAAGAACTAGAAAAATTTGTTACGATAAAAGACTTTGTACTACCGCCTGGAGTCGTATTAAACCAGGCCGTACGAGAACACATTTTTGCTTTAGTTGTAAGCATAGCTACACAAACGCCATTGTGTAGTATTGACGCTCATGGACAGTCATAAACTATTAGTTTTCAAATTGTAATACAAAATCTTCAAGGATCGCCAGTATCAACGAGGCCATTTTGTACAACATTACCAACAGTTAATGCATTTTTTTGTCTAGAATCCAAGTACAGTCGTGCAGAAGATATAGCAGATGTATTTGAATGAGCTTTAAAGCGTGAGCAAGATTATGTACAGAATCAACTGAACGCACGATGCATATAGGTATGCACCAGTATCGGTATTCATACCGAAATATCGATACGGAAAATACCGACTTTTTTCACGTGGAATTTTTGGGATTTTTTCATTTGAAATGAGATGTTTTAGCGTCCTGGACACCCAGAATGAATCAGGGACGGAAAACAAGAGCTTTGTTTGCTTTCTAAAGCCAAAGTTTTTCTTTTTTTCCTATCTGCACATGCTCAAAATATACAACTGAGTGTTGTTTATACGTTCTGCTTGTCCAGGATGCTAAAATACCTCATTTCAAATGAAAAAATCCAAAAATTTCAAGTAAAAAAAAGTCGGTATTTTCGGTATTCGGTATACCGATACCGGTGCATATCTAGATGCATAATGTTCATGGATGAAGCCGGGCTTCCAGATGAAAAAAAGATGGTGCTCAAAGTATTACATCCCTATTTAGATGAANTGCTTGTCCAGGATGCTAAAATACCTCATTTCAAATGAAAAAATCCAAAAATTTCAAGTAAAAAAAAGTCGGTATTTTCGGTATCGGTATATACCAAAGTTCGGTATTTTCGGTATTCGGTATACCGATACCGGTGCATATCTAGATGCATAATGTTCATGGATGAAGCCGGGCTTCCAGATGAAAAAAAGATGGTGCTCAAAGTATTACATCCCTATTTAGATGAATGCAAAGTTGCATTTGTGACTGTTTCTAATAAGCTGTTTAATGCAGCAAATGCTAATCGAACGATATGTGTATTTCAATTGTTACCATCTGAAGAAGATAAGTTAACATTGGCATTTGGTTGTCTCGGTTTACAATAGCCCGATCATAATATTGTCGAACATTTAGAAAAAATTATTCTTGCTCTATGTAAAACATATCGTCAGGTTTTATCCTATGACGATATACTCAAAATATTTCACGATCAAGATTTCATTTATATGTTGCGTGATTTACGTTTTAACATTAGTACAAGAAATGCGACATCAAACACACATAAAGATAATTGGAATCTTCGCCGACAAGAAAATAATTCGAATGTTATTTTAAGTTGTATCACACCAACGAGTTTAATATGCGCGTTAGAAAATAATTTCAATGGAATAAAAAAAGATCAATTTGACAGATTAGTTCAAATATTTTTTACATCTGTGAGCGAGCGTATCAGTAGTTTTAACAAGCCAAACGACATTAAATATCGGGATCCAGTATCAGTGCTACGTGACTCGATGAAATTAGAATCTACAAGACGGCGTTTGTACTGCCGTTATAACTTGATTATTGATGAAAGTGAAGACGAATCAGTTGCAAATTTATTGTTCGAAGGCATCCTGCAGCCAAACTCTGAAAATACGACAGTATTTTGAATGTCTGATTTTGAAACAGACGTTGAGAAAAAATTGAGAAATGTTGAACTATTATCCACAGTCATACTGTGTATGGAAACAGGCAAGACAATACTGATGAATATATGGTAGAACTGACAATACTGACACGGGTAGAATACATGGTAGTTTATATGATGTGTTCAATCAAAATTTTAGTATTATGGCTAGCGGAGATGAACGAAAAATATTTTCAAAAGTCGCAATCGGTGCTCAAACGCTTGACTGTGTTGTACACGAATAATTTCAGTGTATCGTCTACATAAAACGATCAGAAATACATGATATTCCTGCTCCATTCCTCAGCCGATTTTAAAAATATTTGCTCAGTACTCATGATTTCTATCGTTTACAATTAGAGAAACCGCCAAGAAAACAGGAGGAAATACTGGAAAATATAATCCCAGTCATTCATATCTCACTTCGGCAAATAATATTTCTATGGTCTTACTGAGAATACTGTATATTCAATACTGCTGACACTTGTAAGAAGTGTTCATGAACAACAAAAACACGTCAGTTGTTGAAGAAAAAACAGCAACAAAAATGATGACCTCTCGGATGACAATGACGTGCTTCAAAATAATCAACAAGACATGACTATGTTAGAGAATAAATCAAACAATTCTATCACATTTCTAACGAACCATCATTACTCTAAAGAATAATCAAAGCCTCTTTTTTAATGATGCAGGATTATAGCCCGCAAATTTCTGATTAAAATGAGACATTTCCCATTTCTACACGACTTTTCTTCGCAAAGTTATAGAATTTACAAGAAAAGACCTAAATTAATTTCTTCTTGTTTGTGTAGCTTTGAGCTAACAATGGACATTTAGGGTTTTCCTTGTAAGTTCCATAATTTTGCAAAGAAAGGTCGTGTAGAGCTGGGAGATGTCTCATTTTAATCACCCTTCATACCTATATTAGGTGGAATAACTCATTTCTGCCTATTTTCGAGTATAAGTTAATTAGAAAATTCATAATCCAGTCAAGATCAATCTAAATTATGTCAGAATATCAAGATGTACTCTATTTTATATGCTCAAGACGATTTTTTTACTTCAAAATAGTAGAAAACATTGTTGTACTTCGAAAGATTTCTAGAAAACCGTTTCAAAACCTAAAGTATTTTGTGTTGATTTTTAAAGCTTTTATTAAACTGCATAGTATTGAGCAGGTAAAATAGAGTACATCTTGATATTCTGACATAATTTAGATTGATCTTGACTGGATTATGAATTTTTTAATTATATATATACTCGAAAATAGGCAAAAATGAGTTATTCTACCTAATATAGATTTTCACTAGGTTGCTGAAGGTTTTCTGAAAAAAAAATATTGCCACGAGAGTCAGCATGGTTGATTACCTACGTTTCCATTATTTTCGGAATTACCACACCTAAAGAAATACCGGGGACTATTAGCCAATCCGATGCCACGCCTGAAGCGGGAAAACTCAAGAGTTCGCTTAGTTCGCATTCTGAAGAGGACACTTTGGACTATCTGTCTATGGAAAAAACTGATAGATTGTTATCTCAGTTTCCTGAGATCCGAAGTGCTTTTCCAAAGATCTCCTTCTGAATAGTTTCGGAAAAGGGTTTTGCTTATGAAAACATAGGTTAAACTGTCGATTGTTGAAAATCGCAAGTCCCTATCTTTTATTGTTCTGAAGTTATTCGAAAAACAACCGAATGCATTGAATTTTGGTGCCTATAGTAGCTATATCGACTGTTGGTTTTTAACCAAAATCTAATTCTTCTTCCAAAGTTCGGATCGCGATTTTAAGCAGAGAAGAGAAAAACAGTCAGAAAAGCACAAAATATAAACTAATACTACGTCCGCTCTAAAACTGACTCACACTCTTAGAGTGTCACTTCGGCACTTCAAGTGTCACTTCGGTCATAAGTGCACACACTTGAAGTGAGATTTTTTCCCCCTTGAATTGAACACACGAAGTCAGCAAGAACGCACAAAATTTACAGCAATGTTTATTCAGAATAATAGTATCAAAACTAATTCAGCTTATTTCACCCGAAGCGCTCGTTTTTAAACAATAAACATTTGAAAATTCTTTTGCTAATTGGATATCTAAAAGTTACTTCTTTGAACGGGAACACCCTAGCATCGAAAGTTTTCTACAACTACTAGTCTCTTCAGACGATCAGGAAACATCCACTACGACCAAAGTCATATTATTTACTCGTTCAAGTGCATATATAAATGGATTATGTCAAGGTTAAAATAGGCAGTTATTTGAGGATTATAGTAGATGCGTGGAAGTATTGTCTTTGGGATCAATTGACAATGCAGTTGAATTAAAAGAAAAATTCGACAGTTATAAATATAATACGGTCAAAATAGTTCTTATTATGATAGTCAATGGACAAATGGGTACTCAAAGAAATCATATTGCTTTTGTTAGAGGAATGATAAATATATGTGAAAAAGAGACGAATTCCATGTATAAAAAAGAAAAACATCAAAATAATCATTCCAATTTTATTTTTCAAAATCCACAGCAACAAAAAAGAAGTGCCTAGAAAATATTTTATCACGCTATACATATACCAGCACAAGAAATATACCATCAACCGTGTTTTCCATCCATCTATTAACATGATTGAGACATATATTGTTTTGATACCTGTGCATCAAGTAAAGAAATTCATTTACAAAAAATGTCTTTAATGTTATGTGTATTAGAGACAAGAAATGATCATGATAATCGTGAAGATATTGTATTGGATTCTGATATTTTATCATA